GCATAATCTTGCACCTAAGTGTCTGATATTCAAATTTCGCTTTCTGGGTCAAAACTGCTCGAATTTCCTCACTCACGTTGTTACGACTGAATCGAGTTTTCTCTACTCTTCTAAATTCTCTATCCAACGATGCCAAAACGAATTCTGTGGCTCGAATGGTTCTTGAGAAACGAATAAAGGCCAATTAGTTATCTCTGGAATGATGTAAAAACGAGCGTTCTTGCTCAGTTTGCTTCCGAGAAACATGCTAAACGGGACGGAAAACATGAAATTGAAAAATACTGTATTTTTTGACCCCCTGACTTTAAAGCTGGATCCGCCCCTGAATTCCGTGCCATTTAGAAGAATTAAATGTATTTTTTTAAACAGCGATATGATACGCATTTTGTTTCACCCTGTATAATTGTTTGAATTAAAGATTGTCCGATTTTTTCCGATGAAATGCCGTGATTAATGTAAGAACGGAACAAGCATGATGAGAAGCACACGTGGTTAACACAGACAACTAACAAAGCCCAACACCTAAAACGGCAACCGATTCCTCCACCAGCAAACGGATTTTTTGGCAGTACGGCTGCTACTGATCGTTTCGCATTTAAAGCGCGTACTGGTGACCAAAACATCAGTTTGCTATTTTCCTCTGGGTCTTGCTGATTTTGCCTTACTTGAGCCCTGAACTGGCCGGGGTTCCTTCTCGACTCCCTCTACCCCCTGCTTCCTTGTAGTTTCTGTAATAGTTTTGGATACAAACTGCGGCCTCCTGGCTCTTCTTGAAACGTTTATGTTCACAATATGACCTAGCAAATCACATAATTAAAAGTCTACGTCTTACAATTTATGCCAGTATTTCTCCGGGCAGCTTTAGTTACCTGAATCCGTTCTGGATCACGGTGGCAGCGTGCGTCATTTGCTTGTAATACGCGTACTGTTTGTATCTTCGATAGTAGTTCTGGATTATGATCGCAGCCTGCCGTTCCTTGTCCTGTTCCTGCTGTTGTCGTCCTTTGTAGGAACGATACGCTTTCTGGATAATCTTCGCTGCTTCGTAGAGTTCGCGCTGCTCTCGGTCTGGACAAAACCGCCGGTTTTCGGTCGATTTTTTCAAAGTTCACACGACGTTTACCTGATAGCGTTAAGTTGGAAAAGTCCTTTTCGAAAACGGTGCCGGAAGCTTGGAAGAATTCGCAAAAATCTGCAGTAGTCGGTGGCGGCGACGGCGAATCCAGAGTGAAGGAACAGGGCGACTGAAGACAACTTGATGACGCTGGACTTAAGCTGGATTGAGGCGTGGCCACATCATAGTATCTAGGAAAGGTCACAATAAGCACAAGAAAATGTGCATAGAATGCACGAAATGCCCTCAAAAATATGAATTTAAGACGTCGGTTGTTCGTTTCTTGGAGCACATTTCAAATTTAGTGAAGTTGCTGATAATATAATTTTGAAAACCGTTTTTTTGGGAGCAAAGCCGCAGTTTTCTAAGACAATCCCTGGGAACGCACTAAGCACCTGTAGTTGTGATCGGAAAATTCAAAGTTAAACTCCGAAGACTCGAAGCTGGACGAAGAAGGTTCCAACAGTGGTTCCATGTAGACGTCGTAGAGGGATTCGGATGGTTGCTGAGTATCGGGCGGCCCCGGACTATTTTCCATCAGCATGTCCTCAGATTCGTTCTGAAACAGTTCTCAATAATTGAAAAAAATCACAGTTTTACTGGAAGATTACCTTGATCCGATCCGGAATGGCGGCAATAATTTGCTCAGCTAATGTGAGCACTCTGGCGTCTTGTTCCCCTGAAACACCACAAATAATTAAATTGCGGTGTCTTTTAGGCGATATTTTCCTCTAAACAAACCAGAATAGGAAAAGTGCAAAAGGAAATTGAGCCGTTTTAAGCACTGTGTCCGAAAAAGCCGACAAAAAATTACAGTGGAAGAAAGAAATTGAAAAACAACTAGAAAACTTGGCTGCAAAAAATGATTCTTATAGCTCATCAGTGTAACGTATTGACTGTACAGGGTGTCCATTTTTTGTTGTAAATCTCGTCCAGTGGCCTCTTAAGTCTCCAGACCTTTCGGTGAAGAATTTTTTTTCTAACGCACATGCATTGAAAAAAAAATCTTCGAAAAGAAAAATTATTTTGAACAATTAAATTAATTGTGGTAAAAGTTTCGGCAATTTTTGGCGACAAAAGTTTGGAACTGGATAAATTCTAACTGCTGAGAGCGAATTGACTTCTGTTTGAACCGTTATTTAATATAATTATTTTTCCCTTAGTGGGTGTTTTTGAACAAAAAAAAAATTCGTCAGATAAATTTTCTAGACTGTGGCAACTGAATCATTGCGCAATTAGCGAAAGTTCCACATGCTCTCAGTTGGATGAATATTTGTTTTCTTGCAGTTCACCGCTACAGACATTAAGATAAACCTCATAAGATCTAGAAAAAAATGGCTTTTTCGCCCGTCGCGTTTGTTTACAGATGGGTGCAAAAAATCAACGTTTTGGATTTGCAGTGATCATTTTTTTTTGTCGTTGACCAAGTATGAGGTTCATATTGAAGCGAAAATTTCACAGGCGACTTGAGAACAAAATCAATATACCAGGTGGCATAAATGAACGAAATATTCGAAAGTAAACTTCACTTTAGTTTAAAATCCTCCAGAATCACATATATCGGGGGCAAATTTGCTTTGGGTCGTTTTTCGTGCAACCCTGTATATCGAATTTTTGTCCTAAATTATCCATGAAGTTTTAGCTTCAACATGAGCTCCAGATCGTAAAAATCGTTCTATGAGTAGAAAAGTTATCGCTGTTAAAAAAATAACGATTTTTTTAAACCACCCTATAAATAGAACAGACGGCCGAAAATTTGAAAAAATGTATCGAGTTGCTTGGCGTATCTTTAAACTTTTGGTGTCGGGACCCAAAAAACGAATTTTTTGGCCAACTAGGAGCATGACTGTTCGAAATTTTGCATTTGCCACCCTGTAGACATGTTGCCTTAGATCCTTAATTTTTCCAAAACATTGACGTTAGTTTTGCTAAGAAAAAAAAATTGACTAAATAACTTTTGAAACGGAAACCAAATCGCTTCACACAATCAGAATTTATCCAGTCTTAAAGTTAAGATAAATTTGGAGGTGTAACGTTCATTTTGTTAAGCAGTTTGGGGTTTTTTAAATATATTTTTTAAACAATATGTAGTCAGTTATAAGTTATAAATAAACGTGCTTTTTAGAAGGGTTAATTTTGTGTAAAGTCTTCAGTTTTATATACGACTGAAATGGACATTTAAAAGCCAACTAAACGATGTGACAATATACAGGGCGTCCCATTAAAAATGCAAAGTTTGGCTGGATTCTACGTGGAAAACTCCACAAGTTTCCGTTTTTACCTTTGCTATATTGGGTTTCATATTTGAGATACAAATGGTGCAGAAAAGTGCATCCTCTTCAGAAACACTCTATATCTACCAAACCAAGATGGAAATATTTTATTTGACTATTGACAAAAATCGGTAAGAGTATTGCAAAATCCGCATGCCTCTATCGATTTACAACAAAAATTGGACCCTGTACACTCAACTGATGTTCAAAAATCAGTCCAGTGTAAGCTTTCGAGCGGAACACGTCTGAGGATGCAAGCAACTCGTGCTAGCGAAACTTCAGCTTCACTCTTAACTTGTCTGGACTTGAAGAGTCTGAAAACACCGATGAACCACAAGTGTTGTTTGCTAACTAAGCTGATGAAAAAACATTCCAAACTATACAGGGTGTACCAAACTCGAGGTGTCCGCATTGGGATCTCGGATTAAATTGGCGGCTTATTCAAAACATCGAATTTGCCACACCTTGCAAGGTTATTTACAGCAAATCAAAGGCTTATAATAAGGGCTAGTCACGTGCTTCAGTTACTTACTTCGAAAGGAGAATTGGGTACATAGCGACTTATGCTAAGAAAACATGCGTTTAGAAACGTTTCCCCGTTACATTGACCTAGGCTTTGGTCTATCACCATTCAAGTGCAAACGCTTGAACCAATTTTCAGTGTTTTTTCTAGTGAGGGTTAATGGCACCAAGAACTCACATTAGTAACCGATATGAACAATCAAGTCCGCAAACAAGTTACTTCACTCTTTTCCGCCGTAAATTGTTTGCGGAAAACACCAACAAAAACAAAAAAAAAACATACAAAAGTTAGAGACAGAGACAACACCGACAGACAACATTTACATAGACCATACAAGAACTGACCTACTGCATTGCCTGAGCAGATATCATGGTCGTCTTCATCGCTAACAGCTTCCACATCAATTAAAGGACTATTGCTGCCTGCTCCTGTTCCTATTTCGCCTTGAGGTGTAAAAATGCATTTAATATTTGTTGAACAGGGCTATGTCTCAAATGTTATTAGCAGTAAGAAGGGATGCATTATAGGAAAAATTGACGCTCTCTTTGGCCGCTTAATCTCAGCTAATTTCGTCAAGCTACGCGCAGTTGAAGCAAATGGAAAGAAAATGTTGTTGGTTTGTCAACTTTGCCAAACTTTGCATGCTATGACTTGATAACGAAATGTAGGAAGGAAATATTCGACTTACCTCCCCATCAAAGCTTACTTTTATCGGTTTTGGTTATCTTTGATATCTTTTCGTAAAAGTAAGCTACCCTCTAAGGAAATTAAGCAACTAAAAGCCTTGTAGAAACTTACACAGCGCAAAGTCCGTTCTTCGGCCCACAGCCTCCAAAATATCCGACTCAAAGGAATTGTCTCTTGTGGAGAGGGAAGACTGAAGTGGCAGAGACATACTCCTATCGATTCTAAACAGCGAAAACTCTCCCTCAACATCTAGGCGTTTCTAGAATTTCCGCTACTCACTTGGACAGTCGGATGCAATCCCTGGAACCCACTTTGGAGCTTTTGGGCCTAGAGGAACTTTCCAGATTGGAGCCGCAGTTCATGTGAATGCCACTATCGATGGAAGGTCTCTTGATCAGTTTCTGGCCGCTGCTTCCTCTTGTGCTGGACGAAAGGTCCGAGAGCAACGGACTGTGCGAAGACGTTAGATACTTGTTGTTGTTCTCTTGGTCCAAATCGATGCTCAGGAATTTTTTGCTGTAGTCATTTCTGGAAAACGACTGTAGTGGTTAGAAGAGTGACAAAAGTTAAAGGGTTCATACTGCGTTTGCTTCACGCACCAACCTTATAGAGTTATAGCCAAAGGAAGCACAAAACTTTGATAAAATCAGAGCTGGAACGGAAAATGTGTGGGGCAGACTTGAGCAGGAGCAAAAAAATGAATAAGATGTTTTTGACGTGTTGAAAGTTGATTGAGAACATTTAAATTGCCTCACCTAATGATGGCGCCGGGTCGCAAGAAAACTCCATCGTGGCTTTTGCCGTTTGACGAAATTGAAGCCAAAGACCCCACACTACTAGCTGGGCTCATCACTGTAGGCGAAACGTTGTCAACGGAAGACTGGCCCGAATGCAGCATCATGTTCGCCTTATCCCTTCGCAGTTCCAGCTTTTCCAGTTCATCCACCAGCTCCGTTTGGTTGTTGTTGCGGGCGCATTCCAGCGCGGTTTGGTTCTGCTTGTTCTTCACGTTCAAAGCGGTGTGGTTCCACTTGTAGAGCATCACGGCTGTTTCGGTGTGGCCTCGCTCGCAGGCCCACATCTGGAAATGTTCCGTTCAGTGGCCACCTTCAGTTTGCTTACGCTGGAACCAACCAATGGCGTGTATCCGAACTCGTCCTGACTGAGAGCATCCACTTCGGTTTCCAGAAGCAGCGAGGAATTTTCCGCCCTCCAGTGCAGCATCGCGCACACCAGCCGGGAATAGCCCAAAGAGGCTGCCAGATGCAGCAAAGTCATTCCTGGAAAATTCCCGGACTCTACGCAACCTGGAAAGGCATCAAACGACCTCTCACCTCTGTGACTGGCAAACCAGGCCACGCTTAGTTCTTCGCCAAATTTCCATATGCGCGACGTCATATTCTGGCAGAAATTGACCAGGCGGTCCTCGAAGTTCGGTTGTGTGAACAGTGCGGTGTCTTCAACCTAAAAACCATTTGGATTAACGGAAAACTGACCTATGGAGGAGGTGTTACTGAGAGTAAGAGTCTGGCAGAAGAGTCTGATATTCGAACAATAAAAACGAAAGGCTACTTTTTCAGTGCCTCTTACCACGTCGTTGTCGGACGGTTCTTGTTTGATTTGAAGCCGATCGTCCATCGCCTCCAGCCTTTGGAGCAAAGTGAATTTCAGCAAATTATCGTTGGATCGCTCCACTTTCGGTTCGGGGGCGATCATCTGCCCATCTTTCGGCGGAAGCTTGTACTCAAACATCACAGAGTTGGAGATCACGTAGCCGTCGCAGGCAACTTGGAGCGTGGCCAGGCCAGCCTCATGAGCTAAATTGGAGAGTAACTCCAGATTTCTCCCAGAATCCATCACCCAAGCCAACATACCTGGACAGTAGCACCTTAAGACTCCGCTTTGTACTAACGTGGTGGGCACTGGGAATGTATCAAAAAGGACCGTGTAGGGGCCGGAGGAGTGCCAAGGTCCGGTCACCAGCACCTTAACTCCTCCTTCTGGATACGCCCACTCTGGCGAATAGTCCGTGATAGCGTTCGCTGCTCCTGCAAGCAGATTTAGATTGGAAAGTTGCTGCGGTGTTTCGGGTCAAACACGAACCATCCGGATGGTGTACGACATTGGGCTGGGATTGGTGGTGGCTTTGTTGGTGGGCGCTCTGATTGGCTGGGCCCTTTCCGGCTCCGGTTCTGTGCGCTTCGGACGGATTCACATCTAAAAGGGAAGCGTGGCTGGTTTCTAAGCCTTCCAGGTCCGGAAATTCGCCCAGCATATCAAATGCGTCCAGATTGACGAAAACATCGTCGTCCACCACATGAGTAGGCGACACCACCACGTCACAGTTGTTGATAAAGTCCATTGGATTTATGTCTGCTGAAAATTCGTTTGTTCTAGAGTGTTTCTAATACGAAATACGACTGAAGAAAAACCTATA